AAGGCAGTCTGTAGTCTTAGAACTAAAGGGAAAGGCTGATTCTACTGTGTTGACAATCAGGAAGGTTTAGGCTTTTAGCCTGTGAGGTTTAGATAGGTCAAGTTGACTTATTTAGATTAGTAGTTAGTGTATGAGCAAAAAGGGGGAGAGAAACTCAGTAAGCATCTTTACGGGAACAGAAATAACATAAGGAAAGAATAAACTGGTACCTAAAGTGACCTGTTAAGGAAAAAAACACATCTTGAAGAAAAATAAGTTTAAAACCTGTCTAGTGGAAGGAACATAAGGGTTGTCTTATGAAATGTTATAAATGTAACCTCTAAAGAAATGTGCTTCTAGGAGTTAAGAAACATTGAAACCATTAAGCTTCTTCTATACTTCAATAAACTTGTTACAGTTTTTCTCAAAGCCAAGCCTTTGTTTCAAATACTTTCAAGTCAAGCTGCACTACACATTGAAGAAAGACCAACAAAGTATTACAAGCTATTAGCTGTGTTATCAATTTTGTAAATCCATTACGACTAGTAGGAGACCCTGATAAATCAGTGATGACCCTACTACTTTTGGTGTCGTCGTTACAAAGTGGTGGCTTCATTGCACATATACATCCTGAAAAGATACAAGACTGCATAGCTCATGCAAATGGATGGCCCAGGCCCTTGCAGTGTGTGTGTGTGTGGGTGGGGGGATGGCTTGCCCGGGCCACTTTCTCTATGCACTGGTTGCCATGTGGCTGTTGTCTGCACATTGCCTTCTCCATGGAGAAGCTACTGGACCCAGGAGTGGGCATCATGGAAGTGGAGATGGAGGCTTGCCGCAGGGAGCCCCCTTTCTTTCCCTGCTATGTCAGGAGGATGATCTCCTCCTCCACCACTTCCCCATGCCCCTTCCTTCTCCCCGTGCTGGCCTTATCCTCCTCCCTCACTGGCCACTGGAGTGGTCATCATGCGAGAGGGTGGCCTCTTCCTCTTCCCCATCCCCAGGCCTCTGCCTTCTCACTGCATTGGCTGCCAGAGTTGGCACTGTTGGAGTGGAGGGTCACTGCTATGGCAGGAAGGTGGCTTCCCCCTCCTCTGCTTCCCCATGCCTCTTCCTCCTCTCCTCACCAGCTTCTTCCCTTCTCCAAACCATTTTCTCCTTCCCTCGCTGGTCTCATCTTCCTCTCTGAATTAAATATGCAGTGTAGATGCACTCACTCCTTCTACACTGCCATGTGAAATCCAAATTATCTACTTAGAACTGGATTATATGGCAATGTAGACTCTGCTGGCATACCTGCTGTCTCCTACCCCACCCCCCCCACTCACCTGCTCGCCCACCATCCCACCCCCACTCACTTCCTTAATTGCCCATTTACCCACCCCCACTCACTCCCCCCCCCCCCCCCCCCCCGCTTGCTTAGCCACTTGCCAATTCCCCACTTGCTTGTCCCCTCCCCACTAGCCTCCTGTCTGGTTTGGGCATCACTGGACTAGAGCATTATCAGGGAGACTCTCTAAAATTCCCTCTCAAAGGGCCTACCCACCAATAAGGAGTCTCTCAGAGGGCCAGAGCAGTGAGAGATTATGTCCTAAGGGAGACCTTTTCAGAGGTCCAGACAAAGATGGAAGCATTCTGGAGGAGGGAGAAAGGAGGCAGGTGTCAGCCCCTCTGAACCAGTTTTCAGGTTTTTTTTTGGGGGGGGGGGTAGTAGAGCTGAGGCAACAACAGCCTTTGAGGAGAAGAAAGAAGGTATACCTGGGCAATTTGTATATATGCCAGTGTTCTATAAATAACAATTATTTATCTATATTGGTTCAAGCAATTCATTTTTACAAAGAGCTGGGGGTTATTACACATTTTTAAAATTCCATGATGTTAGGTAAGTGAGCTGTACTGCAAGCCAGAACTTTGAATCCCTAAGGGCCCCTTTGGTTCCTCTTCCATTATCTCCTCTGAATGTTTTCATTTTCAATTAGCTTCAAGAGTGATCCACTTGGGAAATGATTTGTCCAGCTCTTAGAATATAAGATATTTGGAATTGAAATGTTCTGAACTCAAGGGCTTCTTTTATGTCAATTGTACAAACCCAGTTTTCATTCCTTCCCAATTGGGAGTTTCTGAACTGCTTTATCTTTCTACAAACAAGCCACCAACACTTGGAAAATGTTCAGAGATAGAGAAGGGCCTAAAAGAATACAGGTGCTGATCTGTGATGGTGTTGCGGATTATGTCTACCTGCTGATTGCCTATTTCAATAAGCAATTGTTTCACTTGCCATTGGCAAACAACAGACCCTAAATTGTGGCAGATGAACCACAATTGTGGAACAAATGCTCCGATGACAACTAAAAAAATCCAGGGAAAACTAAAGGGAGAAAATTCCTAATGTTGATTATGTCTTTTAGGACATAATGGTGGATGAAATCCAATATTTATGGGTTTTTATCCCCACCCCATAAATAGCTAAAACTTCTTCAATGTATGTATGCCAAAAGTTTACTAGAGAAATTTTTTCAGAGCTCAAGGAAAGAGTTAGAAATAACTTGCTAATTGACATTAAATATTTTTTCCAGTCTTGAAAGGATATGTGTATTTCATTATGATGACAGCTTAATAAGACATAACTCTTTTTTGTGATAGAACTTTATTGTTTAGTTACTTATACAATATGGTCTCTCAAAATGACCAAACGTTCATAATAAAATAAATTTGGTTTGTGATAAGGGGCCATTGGATCCCTTCTTTGTCTCCATCCTCTTTCCTTTTAATGCTATGAAAGACTAACTCAGCTGTTTTTTGAAGTATTCAGCATTAGGAATTTTGAAGACTATAGATGCGATTGTCGGGAACGAGAGACAGTGCCTTCTCAGCGGTGGCCCCTTGGCTATGGAACGCCCTCCCTAGGGATATCAGATCTCCCCCCCGAACATTTTGAAAAAGAGTTAAAAACCTGGCTTTTTGAGAAAGCATTTGCAAATGCAGTGTAACAGGCTAATTTAGATCCACGGAATCATTGGATGATGCGACTGGAAAATGATTTTAGTAATGAGATACTAAGGACTTGTTTCTACTGTTTTTATATGGCTTATATTATATGTTAATGCTTTTAATTATATTTTATGTTGTTGGGGGCATTGATTGCCGACAGTAAACCACCTTGAGACGCCTTCGGGCCGAGAAAGGCCCGATGTGTCCCCTTATCACATCAGCACTTTTAATCCTGTACCCCTACTCTGGCCGGCTCAGTTTTAATAATGTCTTGTTGTACTGCTTTTGTTATTGTTTTTGCTTAACTGTTTTTATTTGCTAGGTACTGTATTGTTGTATTGTTGTATTGTGTGGGCTTCGGCCTGTTGTAAGCCGCATCGAATCCCTTGGGAGATGCTAGCGGGGTACAAATAAAGTTATAATAATAATAATAATAATAATAATAATAATAATAATATGGTAAATAAATAAATAAGTAAATAAATGAAAGGGAGAAGAAGGAATAAGAAATGAGCTGCTTTTCATCAGTGTTTTCCCATTAATATCTGTCTGGCAACTCCATTTGTTCCCAGTAGTGGCTGGTGGCTTCCATATCAATTTGATGGCGACCACACCCCAGAATTTAGCACAAAATTTAAAGGATCTATCCATGGTTCTAAACCTGCTTTGCAAGTTGACTTCAACCCTTGGGCAGCCCCCTTAAATAGAAAGCTAAAATTTGGTGAACTTACTAGGACACTGACATGGAAGAATTCATCATCTGAGTCTAGGTGGCATGAGATTGGAGGTGCAACATTATCATATTAACATGTTCAAATTAGGACAAGATTTTGGATTAAAATACCGCAATGGTTATCACCAAAGGAAGCATTGATTATCACCAAAGGAAGAACCAATTTGCAATATCTTAAATGATGGTTGAGATATAAAGACATTTTAATAAAAGACAAAGGATCCCTAAAATCCAAAACTGGAGAAGAATTAGAAAAAGAAGGGTTCAAAGTGCAATGGTTTTTATACATGAGGCTAACAGAAAATTTCAGAATGGATAGTAAACAAGAAGGAATACAACTGGTATAAAGGAACTGGGATAAACTGATAGGTGATAAGGGGACAATAACTATTTCCAAAATATATAATTTGTTAATACAGAAAGAACAATAAATAGAACCAATAAAAATATATGCTGACCATGGCAAAAAAATGTTGGAAGGGTACTTGACATTGACCAATGGGAAAGAGTTTGGAAAGACATGGCAAATTTTACATGTTCTAGCAATCTTAAAGAAAAAAGTTATTAAGTCCACTATCGATGGTACTTAACCCCACAGATACTAGCCAAAATTCATAAAACCAGAAAAGATATATGCTGGAAATGTGAAAAAGAGAAAGGTGTTATGGAACTGTAAAAGAGTTAAGAAGTATTGGAAGAAGATACATAATACAGTTAATAGTACTTTACAATTAGAATTTACGCCACAACTGTATATTCTCAACATGATAAATGTACAAATCAATAAACCTACAAAGAGAATATTTATGTATAGGATTACAACAGCAACTATAGTATTGGCAAAAAGTAGAAAATAACTGAAGTACCTTCCATCTATGATTGACAACTGAAATTAAGAGAAGTAATGGAAACTGACAAATTAACCAGAATAATGAAGGGAAGCTCTCTAAGCAAGGTGTGGAAAGAGTGGGAGAAAGTAGAGAAATATTTTAAAGAATATGTAGTCTCTGTAAAAGAAACCCCAAAGCTTTGGATATTAATATTTCTCTTTTTACCAAATGGAATGCAAGAAGACTGAGGAAGAAACTCTGCCTCAAAGGGAGGGAAGGAAATAATGTCTTTGTATTTATTGTTTAATTTGATTATGTTATGTTTGCTTGGTTTGTGTGTATCTTTCCTTCTTCGCATCTTATGGTGTTGTATATATTTTTCTTTCTCAAAATCAATAAAAATATTATGACCCCACCTCCAACCCCCCCCCCCCACAAACAAACTAGGATTATTGACTTGTCCTTACATTTGCAGGATCTTCTGTTTGTTTGTGACCCTCTTCTGATGCTTCTGGGGCTGTTGGCACTGAGACGGGAAGAAGAGGAGATCTTGCTTTTCCAGCTAGTCCAAGCGATGCTGTCTTAACCTGAGCCTTCGTGAGGCTGGGTGCTGAAATGGGAATGGGCAGATCGAGACAACATTAGTGTGAAAATCATACCTGGTGGAAAGCGGAAGCAGCATTAGCATGTATATGAAATTAAGAACTTTATATCTTATTTCTATCCTAATTTATTAGTATGATTTATCACACCTCAAATCAGTGGTTCTCAACCTGTGGGTCCTCAGGTGTTTTTGGCTTACAACTCCCAGCTAGTTTACCAGCTGTTAGGTTTTCTGGGAGTTGAAGCCCAAAACATCTGGGGACCACAGGTTGAGAACCACCAATTGTTTAGCATAGGTAACTTAAAATGATATCAAAGAAGATCCAAAGAAGATTTTAGAATATCAGTCAGTTGGATGAAAGCTACAGCCTTATGTACACTTACCTGGGTGTAAATTTTACTGGAATGAATCCCATTTCTAAGTAAATGGGGGAGGGGGAAAATTAATACAATGTCAAAGACTTTCTAATTTTTTTATTTTGGTGGCAGAACTAGGCATGCCCTCAAGTCTTTCTGACTGAGATCTATTGAAATTAAAGGTCTATATTAAAGGTTTGGGGCTGGTTGCCAAGCATCTTAAATCTTGTAAATCTCAACTGCCTCTGTTAATTCTGAACCAACATCAAATGGGTGATATTATATGACTTTGAAAATGATCTCAGTTTCTGAACATTTCTAAAGGAGATAGATAAAACTCTGAGGATGCCAATGGAAATTGTGGTGCAGTGACAGAATTGCACAATTCCATCGTGAATATACTCAGGCCTGATTATTGTAATTTTAAATATTAAGCAGCATTGGACTAAGTAAAAACCTGGATGTGACCAGGAGGGAACGTCAGAGGATGCAAAGGATCTCCAGATAGGGGTAAGAAAGAATTGTCTTGAAACTCTGGCATGTTTTTGTTAGTTAGAATTGATACTGCTGTTCTATATGGATCAATGGTCTCATTCAGTATGAGATAGATTTCTATGATTTAGAGAAGGCAATTGATATTCGAGATCTGTTCAAGATACAGGGGAGCTCCACTTTGTAGGCAACAGTTATTTCTTGAAATTCTTCCATGCTGGAGGTTGCCATCTCCGACCCTCTATTTCTTGCATTCAGTGGTGTTTGGGAATGAAATGGTGGCTGGAACAAATCTGGTTCATGGACACCCCAAGTTGCTGGTAGTTACTGTTTGGTTATAGTAGGTAGTATTTGTCACTTCTTTTACCTACTCAAATATCCCTCAGAAATGGGCACTCTAAAACACCCATATCCATAGGGCAACATTTTCATACAGAAAAGTGCTAAACTTCAAAAAGTCTTTGAAAACTGTTTTTGAGGGCTTTTTCACAGCAGGAAGAGAATTATTAAAATTACTCTTGTTTCCTTTGAGAATGAAATTAGCAAAGATTTCCATCCTTAATCTAAATGCAAGGAGCTTGGCCTTCTGTCGTTAATTGGTCAATAGAATAATGGAGGGATAAGTTTCTCGAGGCAAGAATTTTCTGCTGTCTTGCTGTCATTCAAAGTCACTTTGAGGAAAACCATGGCATGAAACTGCCACAGCTCTGTAATGAGCTATGTGTGGGAGCAAAAAAAAAAAAAATAAAAAAAAATCCAATGAGCTTCTATCCAACATGGTATTTTCCCTCCTAACCTCTAAAGCAAGGCATTATAAATTTGTAGCTAATGGTAAGTAGAACCATTTTGATTCCAAAATTAGAAGTGTGTGTGTGTGTGTGTGTGTGGTGAGAATTACTCTGGCTACTTGTGCTAGAGTTATCTTTTTATTGTTTTCCTTCTCTGAAGTTTAACGTTTTTTTCTGGAATAAGTCTTTTAGATCAACACAGTTTTGTAAATCAACACTTATATAAATCCAATTGAGTCAATTAGGGTTGCCACATTTCAGAACCTGGGCTGGACTTTTAGGTCCTGATCCTTCTTCTTTAGTCCTCTGGAGAGAGAGGAAGGAATTTCAGAGTGAGTGTATTAGATAGGAGTGAAATATCAGTCCTACTGTATTTCCCAAGTGAGAGCCCTCAAATTGAGCAGGAAGGCAAACAGAAAACAAGCAATAACGTTGGCCAAAGAATCTACCAAGTCCCAGGACTGCTCCAACCTGCTGATAGCACTGCTTGAGAAAGATAAACTTTATTCCAGGCATCACTATTTTATAGAATTTCAGAAATATGCAGTCAACAACATAGTGATGAAATCCTTATGTGAAATTAGAGTGGCCAGTAGATAATATAGCAGTAATGTATTTGTTGTTGAAGAGGATGTTCTCAGGGCTTGGCACTGTCTGTAAGCCTAACTGGTTGTTGGCCCTGGACACAAAATATTGTATTTACATTATATCTAATATGGCACAAATAACAACTTATTTATTACTCTCCTTGTGTCTCAAGGTGGGGCACAAGATGGCCCAAACAGTGCAATAAAAAAACACACTATAATACGCATGCTTAAAAATAGGCTGAAGTGTCCCACGACTGGGAAATTTCTCAATGTGATAAAGTAAGTATCAATCTTGACAGTAAAATCTCAGGATCTGGAATGGTCTCGTTGCAAACCTAGATTCATTGAATCTCACCAGTTAGGACTAATGCTTGGATTTAGGCCTTAAACTGTAAAGAATGAAAAGATAAGAGCTGGACAAGAGCCAGCGTGGCATCAAGAGTCAATATGTAGTAGTAGCCATCTGAGCATTGGACTAAAAGTTTTCTTAGGGTTGTCACAAGTCAGAAATGGCTTGAAGGCACATGAAAACAACTGGCCCCACTTGTGTTTAAAATAATTTTGCAGTAGAGTATATTTTACTTATTCACTTTCAGCATCTATTCAACTGACATGACCCCATTATTTTGCTACCCATAAATAATGCAGCAAAATGGGAAGGGCCATTCTAGCAAATCCTCAATTTGTAGTGACACTATTTAAAATTATACATAATTCTTTCAAAACAAAAATGGGATACTAAGATAATGGTTTGTTTTTTTTAAAAAAAATTTCTCACTTCTTCATTTCTAAGAGCTGGGTTTATAATTTTACATTCATTTTAATTAAATGCTAAAGCACAGAGGGTTGCTTTAACAAAAGCTTAAGAATACTCAAAGCCAGAATGGATGCTCTACCAAATTAGAGTGCACGCTGCACTTTGTGAGTGATAAGTACCTTTCCACAAGCTAGCAAGAGACAAAAAAGAGAATCAAACATTTCCTGTATGCTTGGATCTCTTTGATAATCCAAGTTTAAGTGAAATGAAAAGAGAGAAAAGCTAGAAAGAGAGAAGGGGGAGGAAAGGGAGAAGTAAATGCTTCAAAAGATACAATCACTTTGCTATCTTCACTATAATAAATGAGTTCTTTAATAACTGGTTTTGCTGAACTTCTTCCAACTTCAAAGAAAGAACAGAAGATATACTCATCCCTAGGAGATAACATGTGTGTGCATGCGCTTTTAAAAACAGTACAAAGTACAAAAAAGAAAAAGACAAAATCAAGGAAAAGCATTTAGCTAAGAATGCTTGAGTTATTTCGATGTTGTGAGTTGCTTCATTTCATGGTTTTCCAGTTCCATGGGAAAATAGCACAATCCCCCCCTCTATTTAATAATAATAATAATAATAATAATAATAATAATAATAATAATAAACTTTATTTGTACCCTGCTACCATCTCCCCAAGGGACTTGGTGCGGCTTACATGAGGCTAAGCCCAAAGTACATCCACAAAACATCAATGAACACAACATCAATAAACAATCAATAAAATACAAATCATATAAATCACATAAACAAAAAAAAACAATCAATAGTGACATAAACAATTTTAAAAATGGCTGGGCCAAATATAATAGATTAAAATTGAGAATATGCTGACATGAACAAGGTAAAATATAACTAGGATAGGATTTTTTGGAGAGAAATGAGGGAGCACAGTCCATCCTAAGTCAGTATTAAAGTGCATTTTGAGGACATATTGATGAGAGTTCTCCTTATTCTGGGAAGCCACACTGGAACAACCACGTTTTCAGGCTCCTCCTAAAGACTGCCAACGTTGGGGCATGTCTAATGTCCCTGGGAAGTGAGTTCCAGAGCCACCACCAAGAAGGCCCTCTCCCTCATCCCCACCAATCGTGCCTGCAAAGGAGGTGTGAGCGTGAGCAGGGCCTCTCCAGATGATCGAAGAGATTGTGTGGGTTCGTACACAGAAATGCGGTCACTCAACCTAATGGATCAATTGTATATTGTATATCTTCTAGCTATTTTCAATTTATAGCAAGCCTAAGGCAAAACTATCATGGAGGTTCCTTGCCGAGATTTGTTCAGAGAGCATTTGCCTTGGTTTTTGTCTGAGGCAGAGAGAGTGCAACTTGCTCAGTCACCCAGTGGATTTCAATAGCCAAACAGGGATTCAAAGCCTGTTCTCTAGAGTTGTAGTCCAATGGTCAAACTATCACAACACACTGGCTTATCTAAAAAGTCTACAGCACCTAGTATTCTCAGGCAGGAAATATAAACCAATTTGAAACTTGTATTGTAATGGGGAGAAGAGGATTTAAGGACATGTTGGTTTAATGGAGAAGATACAAACAACAGTGATTTAATATCACTAAAATGTAAATTAAAGGCATACAGGTTGCGTAGTGGGAGAAGAGAACAGGGACAGGGTTCATTCTTTTCCATGTTTCTTCCTGTTGCAAAACACCCAAAAAATCTTTCTGTTTCGTTACTGTTACACATTAGGCTTGGTTGATTAAAAAAATGGTTCAAAACTCATTTCGGATGTAGGGAGCGCTGGTGTTTCGATTCTAAAGTCACTTCTGTTTGTTTTGTGTTTTTTTTAAAAAAAATCAAAACTTTCTGAAATTTCCGAAACTTCGGAATTGCTTCGTTAATGGCAGACACGCATGCACACTAGGAAAAAAACAGCACTGGCAAAGAAAATCTATTCCCAGTTTGAAAGTATTATTTTATGTTTCATTGGGTGGTCTTTACTTTGAAAGCAGTTGTTCTA